AGAATGTGTTGAATGTTTGATAAATGTTAATTGGATCCTGTTTGTTGGTGGTGTTTTGAGTTCTATGTTGTTGGTGATTTTTCTGTTTAACTGTTCCTATTAAGTGTTGAGAGAGGAGTATTAATTGTCGATTTGCCTGTTTCTCTTTTTAGTTTCATCAGTTTTTGCTGCTTTCTTTTGATTGGTGATTGCATGAAATAAATATCTTTTCTTATCCTTTTTCTTTCAATCTTTTAATATTTAAATTAAGTATCTTATGGATGGCATATAGTTTTAAAAATCATTCTACCAACATCTGTCTTTTAATACACATATTTATACCATTATATTTAATATAATTATTGATAAGTTAAGACATATCTCCCAATTTTTAAAAAATATATATTTTTATTGATTTCAGAGAGGAAGGGAGAGGGAGAAATAGAAACATCAATGATGAGAGAATCATTGATCAGCCGCTTCCTGAACATCCCACACTGGAGACTGAGCTTGCAACCCGGGCATGTGTTCTGACTGGGAATTGAACCTTGACCTCCTGGTTCAACCACTGAGCCACACTGGCTGGGCTCCCATTTTTTTTGGTTTGTTTTCTGTGTGTTCTCTCTGTTATTCATTTCGCTGTCTTTATTTTTTTTCTGGCTTCCCGATGATTATTTGATATTTATTTTTTAGAATTTAAATGATCTATAATGTTATTTTTTTAAATAAAGATTTAAAAATGGATTTTTAGAGAGAGGAGAAGAGAGAGGGTGAGAGAGAAACATCAATGTGAGAATGAAACATCTATTGGCTGCTTCCTGCCTGCACCCCACCAGGGATTGAGCTGGCAACCCAGTCAAATGCCCTGACTAGGAATGGAACCAACAACCCTTTGGTGCATGTGACAATGCCCAACCAACTGAGCTATGCTGAGCTGGACAATAGAGATTTTTTCTAGCGTCTCTGTATAGCTTTTGTAGTGGTTGCTGTAGCTGCTATATCTATCTATCTATCTATCTATCAATATATGTATCACAGTTTACTCGTGTCATCAGTTTCCTAATTTGAGTGAAACATAGCAATCTTGTCTTCCTTTAGGTTTCTTTATCCACTTTTGTATTGCCAGGTATGGGTGGAACTCCAGGCTCCCGGTGTGGTTTCTGCTGACATTGTGGGAGGGGGTGTGGCAGGGTAGGGCTCATTAATGGCCAGCAGGGATGAAAGCTTTGGCCTTCTTTCACAACACCCTACATTGATGGGCTAGTTGAATACTTTGAACCATGAGGCTGGAAATCTAGGCTCCCCACTTGGCCTCTGCTGATATGGATGGGGCCATAGTTTTTTCTGTGGTGTTTGGCTGACGTAGAGCTGTTATTGTCTAAAAAATTTCTGTCCTGCTAGGTTGTTCCTTTCCTAATCCTTTGCCTACAGAGAATGGGCTTTTGTTGGGACTGTTTTTTCTTTTCTGTGCCCATTTGCTTTTTGGACAGTCAGCTCCAATTCTGGGATCTCTGAGGCAGACAAAAACCCACTTGTCCAAGGGCACCCAGCTACCCCAGGCAGTCTAGTTGCAGAGTCTTGTTCTAACCCTACACTTGCCTGTTGCTCCTCTGTCCCCAGCTGCCCTACCAAGAGGAGCTGAGCACCACTAAGATTGTGCATCTACTGCAGTGGTCAGCCAAAGAGCACATGGCCACTCCCCTGGGAAGGCCACACGCCCTCCACAAAGCCCATGGAGCCACTGGAGGAGTTTGTTTTCCAGGGGCCTAGGGGGCTTAGCACAAAGCCTAGGCGAGACTGATGTGCCTAAAAGGGTTGGCCAAGCAGCTGCAGTGGGATGTTCCACCACACACATTGCCGGGGGTCTTGCCCCAGCATTACAAAGGGTTCCAGCAATCTGGAGAAAGGAGCTGGGCGGAGGCTCAATAAGGAGTCCAAAGACGAAAGAGTTTTGAAAGGCACTGGGGGTCAGAGGAGCTTCAGCTAAAGGAGCTAAAGACTCCCCCTTGATTCAGGACCTAGTGCTTTTCATTAACACGAATTGTCCTAAGGCCAGGTGGATATAATACACTTCAAAGGGTAGGGTTTACAGAAGCATTGTCAGATTGGGGAATAGCCTACAGCTGTTCAGGTGTTTGGCCAACAGGAGGCAATAACATGTAGATTAAGATGCCTGAGCTGTAGGGCAGCAAGCAATCCTATTCAGGTTTGGGGGAAGTGCCTTTCCAGGCCTTCCAACAGGTAATTACATATGTGGCTCAGCACTTGTTGAGCCCCCCAAGTCTCATCAACCTTTTGATGAAACTCTTGTAATTATGACATGCTGGAATTGGTTCCCGGCAATACATGGTTTGTCAATAAGGGCCTTGACATTATTTTTATTTATTGTTATTATTTTTACAATATAATAGGTCAGGGCAGTTTTTTCCTAGGCAACTACATTATATTTATATTCTTTCTTTATTTTATTTTCAGAAGACTTTTTTTCTTACTTTATGTACACTTTCTCAATACCTTAGTGTTTTGTTTTTTGTCCATGGGTCATGCATATAGGCATACAAGTTCTTTGGTTGATTTCTTCCCTCCCACCCCTGCCTTCAGTACTTTAGTGTTTTAGTAATGGCTTCCCCAAAACTTAAGATTGACTTTATAGAAAGACCATTTAAATTTCATAAGGCTCTTTCTCATGGAATTATTCAAGCTACTTATTCATGTGTGAATCTACTGAAATGGAATGGTTTAAATAATTAAGGAGGGAATTAATACTCCATATACCCAAAATTCTAATATTAGTGCATGGATAGTTATTAAAAATCAAAGAAGACAAATTTATAGAGATCATATGAATTAATTTCTATCCTCTTTATATTAAGAAAAAGTTCTTTTTATTTTTGCCTGGTGACAAAGGCTGTGGTGGTAGAGAGAGAAAAATGCAGAACAGGACATTATGAATGAATCTGATCATGATATAAGGCCTGATTTTTCTGCATGACTTGTTAATTTTTAAAAATTGCACAAAAATGCATACAATCATTATTTTAAACTTTTATAGAATTCAGAAGCATGCAAAGAAGTCAAAGTTAACTTTCAACCCTTGCCTTGCTAAAAGATATTTAAAAAAACCCATTTATAGCCCTGACGGGTCTGGCTCAGTGGATAGTGTCGGCCTGCAGACTGAAGGGTCCCAGGTTCTAATCCAGTCAAGGGCATGTACCTTGGCTGTGGGCACACCCCCAGTTGGTGTGTGTATGTGTGTGTGTGTGTGTGTGTGTGTGTGCACGCGCGCGCACGCAGGAGGCAGCTGATGGATGTTTCTAACTCTCTATCCTTCTCTCTTCTATCTGTAAAAAAAAAAAATCAATAAAATGTAAATTTAAAAAATCCCAAAAACATTTATAGCCCTAGCTGGTTTGGCTCAGTTGATAGAACATGGGCCTGTGGACTGAAGAGTCCCTAATTCAATTCCGGTCAAGGGCATGTACCTCGGTCAGGACTCGTGCAGGAAGCGGCCAATTGATTTGTTTCTCTCACATCGATATTTCTCTGTCTTCCCCTGAGCTCCGGGAGAACCTCCGAATTCGGAGCCCAAGGGTTGGAAGTGCAGACGTCCTTCTGGTGAGCAGGAAGGCCTGACACCAGGCAGGAGACAGGCCTGCAGGGAGGCCTCGTCTTGGGGTGGGAGTGGCTTTCAGGTCGCATTCCTCCACCAGGGGGCGATCAAGCCCGCTCCTGTAAGCGGGAGGGTCGGAGCGCTGAGGCAGGTCCCGCCCCCAGGCCCGCCGGGCAGCTGGAGGCCCTCCGGCTTTCCCAGACCTCTCCCCAACCCGACCTCAGGGTCTCAGCAGCGTGGAATTTCGTAAGGTGCACCTCCTCCCTCCTCCTGGGAGCCCGCCTATTAGCGGGGCCATCACTGCAGGCCCCTCCAACATCCAGTCCTCTGCTGGGGTTCTCTCATTCAGTCTTGAGCACCACCGCCTAAGGAGTCCTGCCATCATACCCATTTCACAGAGGGTAAGTTGGGGTACAACGGTTGGTAACTTGCCCAAAAATCAGGAATGGTGACCCAAGATACACACCTGGCCTATCCTCCAAACTGGAGCGTTAACCAAACCATGTCTTCTTTTTGACTCTGCTCCTCCAGAACTTTCTTCCCATGGCAGCCGAGAGGCTTTGGGGGCCCTGGCAACCTGTCTCCGGCTGCACTCAGGATCAAGTTCAGTGCCCTCTCCCCACTTCTCAATGCGACACACCAACTCCCCTTCAGCTGGAAGGAAACAGTTCATTCTGGGCATTTGCTGCTTCATCAGGACCACTCGCCCCTGTCCCCTCCCCCTCTTAGTTAATCTGCAGTGTTCAGGCCCCGGCCTCTGGGTCACCCCTCGGGAGCCTAACTCCCTGACTCCTAGATATGCTCAGGCCCCGTAGGAAATGCTGTCTAACCAGTCGTTATGAGCCTCTTGGGTAGTACTGGCCTCAGGCATGTAACTGTCATGGCACCATTATTTCAAAAACTCAAACCACCCTTGATTCCTCCTGCTCCAGAGCTCTCTCTAAAACAGCTGATCTTGTGATAGCTACCTTTCACGTTACCTCAAGTCTGACCCCTTCTTATCTCCTTCCGCACTAGGTCCGCCTGGCCATGCTTCCTCATGGCCATGTCCACCTCTGCAGCAGCTGTCGTCGTGTGTGTCTGTCTCCCGGACCAGAAGGAAAGCCCCACAGGCAAGGGCCTTGTTCGCTACAGAATCCCCAGCGTCTGAGACTGTTTCTCCCACTAGAATGCCAGCTCCTGGGGGCAGGAACTGCCTGTTCTGTTTACATATAACCCGTGCCCAGCACCCAGCAAGTGCTCAATAAAACCCATCGATGCACAGGTGGAGACTCGGGCCCAGGGGGAGAAAGCAGCGTGTCCAAGGTCCTCCCGGGGGCAGCACAGCGCCAGTACCCAGCTCTCCTCCGGCCTGTCGGGCAAGCAGTCCCTTCTTTCCGTCCCAGAACACACAAGAGCCCAGGCCCTTTAGTTCAATAATCAACACAGTTTATTACTCCACTTTCACCTTCACACAGACTATTTCAAAGAGCTGGAACAAGTGGGGGGTGGGAGGTGGGAAAGGGATGGGTGCCTCTCGGGAGCCAGGACCCCCGGTTGGCTTCCTCGGACCAGGGCAGGGAGGGAGCATCAGGCTGTTCAATCTCTGGGCACCAGCTCTCCACGTGCACACGCACAGCAAGCCAGCAGCTCCTCACACATAAATACAGACACGCTTAACAAAAATAGTATATCATCTGCACAAGGAATAAAAACTAGTCTCGAATATGTACAGCAAAGAGCCTGGGGGGTGGGGGCAGGGCTGCTAGGCCAGGATCCCCAGGGAGGAGACAGACTATGGGTAGAGCAGAGGAGAGAGGGAGGCCTGAAGGGCTCCTGGCCAGGCCACTCTGACCTGGCAGCCCGGCTGCCTAGGCTGAGTGGGGGTGGAGCACAAATCTGGCCAGGCAGGACCAGCCCCTCCAGGCAGCCCTACTCCCACCCTGCACACAGGCTCTCCTTCCTGCCCTGCCTGCCTGAGGTAGGGAAGACCCTAGGGCTTCCAAAGCTACTGCCTGTAGCTCCCCTTCACCTCTGGGCCGAGGCCCCTGAACCCCCTGGGCAGCAATCCAAAGCAAAGATGCCACAAGGATGATCTCCTTGCAGGAAGTGAGGCAGCTGAGGCCATAAACAGCTCTGGGGCACCTGTCTTGGGCGCAGTTGGTCCCTCAGTCACGGTCATGGGAGCCAGGGGAGGGAAGGGGGAGGGAAGGGAAGCTGGGGCGGTGTTGAACTGCAAGGGACACCCAGGCTTTGGGGATGGGGTGCTTCCTGCAGCTACAGCCCCTCCTCCTGGGTTAGGCTGGCCTCTAGCCAGACACCTCCAGAGGACACTGGGGCTGGGTGGGAGGGGGAGACTTTGGTCAGGCCAGAGTTGGGGAGGGGGTCCTGGTCCTTGTTTCTTTATCCCAAGCAGCCTGAATCCCTAATTAGTCAGAACTGGCCCCTAAGCGGCCACTGGAGGGTAGGAATGAACAAAAGGGGAGCCCAGGTCCTAGAGGATAGGGTGGGGGATAAGAAATGATCAATTCTGAGGCCACAAACATGAAAACGAAGGCAATCTAGTCTTTCTAGGAAAAAGGGTCAGAAAACTTCCGAGCTCCCTGGCAGGAAAGCATTCTAGGGGAGGCCAAGGGGTAAGGAGGTCCACCAATCAGGTTGGGCCCTTCCAGCCGTCAGCCATGAGCTCCCACACGCCTGCCGGCTTCCATGGAGCAGGTGTTGGGGACACTTTGTGGGTGTTGAGGCCAGGAGAACTGAGGTGTGGGGGAAGGCAGCTCTCACAGAAGCATAGTAAATTCTAGAAAACTAACTGTGGGGACCAGATCTAGGCCCCACCCTGTGATGTGTAGGTGGTCGCGAGCTGAATGTAGTGGTTCTCCTGGTGGCCATGTGGCTGAGAGGAGGGACGTGGTGGGGGAGGGACGGGTGTGGTGGGAGGGTGAGTGGGTGGTCAGTGTCTGGTCATTTCCGACTGAAGAGAGAGCCCAGCAGAACCACGCCAGCCACAGTCATGCCCGTCAGGAACCAGCGGTTGAAGCGTTCCTGGCCCTTCCGGCTCTCGGCGGCTGCGTTGTTCCCGTAGAGTTCCACAAAAGTGTCCTGCAGGGGGAGAGAAGAGGAGGAAAGGTGCTATTTGAATCCTTACACAGCAATGTGAGCGGGTAGGAGAAGGGGGCCATCTTCATGCGATGGCCTTCATTTGAAAAACTGCTGTCATCCGTGCCCGCTCTGGGCCTGATAAAGGGTGAAGACCCTCCCTCCTCCTTGACCTCCAGTTGGAAATGACCAACCCACTTTATGGCTGAGAACGTGGGTGTGAAGGAGGAAAAGAGCTTTGCTCCAGGTCAGACAGCTAGGGAACGGTTCTCTGGAACCTGAGGTGGGAAAGAGATGGGCAGGGGCAGGAAATGACGGGAGGCCATTGCTGGAGCAGATGCAGAAGGAAGGGAGAGGAGAGATGAGGGTGCAGGATGAGCGAGAGCTGGACCACGTGTGCTCTGGAAGCCCCCGGGAAGCTGGAGTAGAGTCTGAGTGAGGGCAGGGTGATGGGGAGAGGGAGGGAGAGAAAAGGGAAGTGATTCCTGGCAGAGGGTGCCTGGGCTTTACCAGAGGCTCCCTCTTCCTCTGCCCGGGAGGGGGGGGGCTGAGCAGGCAGCGCAGAGACAACCACTCAGGCCGGGGTGGCCTAGGAGCTCCCGCGTTCCCCACCCAGCGGCTCAGGACTCTGCCTCCAGGAGGTGAGCGGAGCTGGTCAGGAGGGAAGCGCAGATGTGGGAGGGAGGGGCTTTGGGTGGAATTACCCAGCCAGAGGCCTGTGGGGCAGGGAAAGGGAATCTAGAGTACCCTCTAATGAGAAGCTTCCCACCCCATTTGTCCTTTAATCCTCCCAACAATGCACCTAGCACGTAGTTGGTAGCTGATAAACACGTGAGAACAAAAAGGCAGGCGGTCCCTCCCCGTTTACAGACCAGGGAGTTGGCCTCTGAGGGCGGAGGGACTCCCAGGCCACCCAGCTTTGTCAGCGGTGGGACCAAAACCCAAGCCTAGCGTCCGGCACCTCGAAGTCAATGCACGGAGTGGGGCGAGGGAGGGGATGAAATGAATTGCTGGCTGGTTCCAGAGCCAGGGTTCTCGCCTCCACCAAGAGCTCACCCCTCAGGCCACATTTCCACCTGGTCCCACTGGCTGAGGGGGGTCTGCGCCTCAGACGCCTCGCCTCAGACGGGGCCTGCATCTCCAGGTGGCCCCAGGTCCCGGCCAGCCAGTGTGCTCTCTGATGCTAACTGGCCCCACTGCTGGTCTTGATAACTCCCCCCAGCCCATGTTCCACGCAAAGATTTTTTTAAAATTTATTTTTTATTGACTTTTTACAGAGAGAAAGAGAGGGATAGAGAGAAACATCAATGAGAGAGAAACATCGATCAGCCACCTCCTGCACACCACATGAGCCTGCAACCAAGGCACAAGTCCCCGACCGGAATCGAACCTGGGACACGTCAGTCCGAAGGCAGAGGCTCTACTCACTGAGCCAGACCGTTTTCGGCGACGCAAAGATTTTAAAAAACAGGTCAATAGTACGCCTGTGCTTCCAGTCCTCCAACAGCTCCTCTCTGCACCATGTCTGTTCCTATCCCTGATATCCTAGCAAGTGCCATGTGCACTGAGCTGCCAACTGGACTGAAAGAATCCTCAACATGTATTCCGTCATGAGGAAGGCAGCAATGACACATAAGCCACAGCTCTTCCCAGAAAGCTTACCCTTCTGCTGGGAAAAGCCCCTTTCAGACCACGTCACTACAAGCTCTCAACCTTTCCAAGACTTCAGACTGTACCTGGAATTAAGTCCTTATCACAACCAGCAAGGTTTAGCGGGCCCCGCCCCACTGCACACTCCGCACGTAGCACAGCTCCTTGCTGCCTGGAGCATCGCCTGCCTCACAGGAGCTCCTCTCTGCACTCCCGCCTCTGCTCAAATGTCACTCCTCAGAGGCCTTCCCTGGCCGCCGGGCCTGACCCGGTATCCGCCCCCTCTCTCCCACCTATCGCCTGACCTTGCTTTTCTTTTTTCTTCTCGGGCACTTTTCAAAACCAGATTCTACACTTTGTTTTGATCTCCTGCGCTAGACGTGGCTTGACAAGGCAGAGATTTTGCCTTGTTTCTATGCACCCAGAGCACTACCTAGCTACAGGGGTCCTCAAACTTTTTAAAGTGGGGGCCAGATCACGGTCCCTCAGAGAGCTGGAGGGCCGGACTATATGAACTACTAATTCCTACTGTAACACCTCGGCTGCGCTCACTGCCCAAAAAACCTGGCGGGCCGGATCAGACTCCTCTGTGGGCCGCATGTGGCCCGTGGGCCGTAGTTTGAAGACGCCTGAACATAGCTGGTAGTCGATAACTACTTGAGTAGAACACAAATACTGCGTGTCCACTAAGTGCCAGGCACTATTGTCTCATGGCACCTTCATCATCATTCCCAGCCTGGCGATTTGAAGCTTATTTCACAGATGAGACAACTGAGGTTTACAATAGGGAAGGCCTTGCTAAAAGGTGGCAAAGCCAGGATCAGATCTCAGGACTGCCCAGCTCTAGAGGGAGCGTGCTCCATTCCCGGGCGGGCACCCGGGGGACCCGGGGGCCCTGTCCTGTCTCCAGAGCTGACTGGATTCCTATAACAGGCTGCGGGGTGGCTGGGGTGAAGGTATCTTGGGCCTGGAGAGAAGGAACAGCAGCGGCGGCGGCCAGCCTCTAACTCTGGGCCTGTTGCTGCCAGGCACGGCTGATGTGGATAGGCTTCCCTGTCTCTGCATCTTCATCCTGGCTAGCCTCCATTTATATATATATTTAATATATTTTAATATATTTAATACATTTTATTGATTTTTTACAGAGAGGAAGGGAGAGGGATAGACAGTTAGAAACATCGGTGAGAGAGAAACATCGACCAGCTGCCTCCTGCATATTCCCTACTGGGGATGTGCCCACAACCAATGTACATGTCCTTGACCAGAATCAACCTGGGACCTTTCAGTCCGCAGGCCAACACTCTATCCACTGAGCCAAACCGGTTTCGGCGAGCCTCCCTTTTTGTTGGCAAAAAAAATTCTTACAGGAGTTTTAATTTTTCTGATCTGAAGCAAATAGGCCCAGGTGAATTCACAAAATGAGACAGACCTGTGATGGGGGGAGTCCTGGGCTGGGGGCGGAGGGGGGGCATGGGAGAAGGGAGGCCAGGGCCAGGCCATGGTTATCCCAAGGGACCGAATGTCCCATAAGAAGCCCGGGATTGGGGTTGTAGCCAAAGTGGGAGAGGCCTGGCTCCCGCAGTGGGAACTTTCCTGAAGCAGAGGGCTGGCAGCCACAGGCCGTTTTCGGCTCTGGGCTGGGCTGGAGTAAACAGGCTCTGTCCCTGCAGAGGCACAAAGCACTCACTGTCCAGGAACAGCCATTCCAGGGCGGAGGGAACATTCTCACTGCGGTGCCATCGCGAACAAGGCTCCGACCTGCCCAGCCCCCACGAGGGAGCGCATTCCTGGCCAGAACAACACTTCATCTCCACTTCAAGGAGCGCCTTCTCCTGGGGAGGAGGGAGCAGGATTTCCAAGGCTGTGGATTCTGCGAATTGCTTTTGTAGACCAGCAGCATGGGGCGTGCTGTTCCAGGGCGGGTGCCGGGAGGGGAGGCAGCGGTGTGGGTATATTTAGCCCATGGTTCACACGACACACTTGGAAACAAACAGCCATTTTCTCAGCGGGCGGCTGCTCTGGATAAATAAACAGGATTGCAAAGCAGCCCAGTCTGGAAAAGCAGAGATAAGCCCCCACTGCTCCTCCATGGCTCCCGCTGGTTTTAGCCAGAGCTGGCACGGTGGGCAGAGAGGGGAGAGGAAAGGGTGAGCTGCAGGGAGGTCTCTGATGTCACAGAGGCTTTAGGGGACCCAGGCCTGAGAGACGGGTCCTCAGCGTGGGTTACAGCGAATGGAGGAAGTGTCTCTTTGCAGCTGTGACTGCTACCACAGGAATCCACGTGGGAGTTTTCAGGGCCACTGGGGAGAGGCAGTGGAGAATCATGGGCGACTAGCCAGGCAGTCCCCACAAGTCAGTAAGGCCAACACACCTGCCCGTTCTAGTGTCACACTGCCAGTTTGTGGTAGAACTTGGGAAAAAATTAGGGTCTCCCAACTTGGCACCGGGGCCCTTCAGAATGGTGAGACAAGAACCAGGCTCCACAGAAGTCAAGGGTGGGCTCTCTTTCAAGGCCCCGACTCCCACAGTCCTGACCACACAGAGGACTGGGCCTGGCCCCCACACTCCAGAGTGCTGCCTGCCCTTGGGCCTCTGCCAACGCGGTGTCCCTCTAACTGGTCCCCCTTCCCACACCTCTCTTCCTCAGTGAGCCAACCCCGCGCTGGAGTCCTGTCTTCCTGGAATCCTTCCCTACTGTCTCTTCTCCAACTCCGGGCAAACGTCTTTTTTGTGCTTCCAGGGTTTATGCACTTTCACTCACACCATAAATATTTACCAAACACCTTCCATGCCCCAAGCCCGGCTCTGGAAGACAGAGAGTGAGCAATGCAAACGAGGGTCTGCTTTCCTGCGGCTTGTGCTGTACTCTGTGCACGCTCAACTGGGGAGATATCAACCCCAATGGAGCAAAATGAAAAAATTCCTGGATACTAGAGTGGTTTGTGGCTCTCTTCAGTACAACAGCACCTACCTATAGAGATACACAGTACAGCTGTGGTATTCAAATGCAATGGGAGGCCAATTAGGACAAAAATGTCTAAAAAGACTCCTTGGGGGGTGGTAATGAGAAAAAAAAATTGAAAAACACCATCATAGTAGGAAGCAGAGAAGAAAAGGAACAAGACAATTTTAGAGGTGACTGGGTTTTGAACACAGTAGGTTATGGGGCGGTGACAATGCCTGGGGGACTGATATAGGTGGTGGAATACTCAGAGATCTTTCTGGAGAAGTGAGGTTTGAGCCGAGATCTGAATGAGGAGGTGAAGGTGGCCAAGGATCAATAATCTCAGGTAAAAAGAGCATGTTCCAGCAGAAGCAGGTGCAAAGGCCCTGAGGCAGGAAGGACAGGCAGG